AATATAAGCATTTTCATTTCATTAGTCATTATCAGGATAGAGTAACATGATAAGAACTCCAAGAATATTAGGAGCCCTGCTGCATCATTAGTGTATCTTATTTCTATATTCTAATGAGCCTCAAGTGTAGAAAAGGATATATGCTCATGAATAAGAATCCAAAGAAAGGTGCTGAGCTGTCAGAGGATGGAGAAGATACGGGATTTTATTAGTTTGTACTTTGTAAGGGACTTTTACAGTTTATTTCAATTTATAATAAACGATCTAATATCTACCCCAAATTGGCTCTACTCTACCACTCATCACAACACAAGAGCTCAAGGAAGTCAATACCCTAATGTCCAAGTGTTATGAACCACTTTGGGTTAAATTCATTCTTCCCAAAATGACACATGCGCAAATGATCACCGTTATCTATCAAAGTTTGTTTCCTCTATTAGAAAGTGGCATTGACAAACATGTCTAAATCTATCAAAGTTTGTTTCCTCTATTAGAAAGTGGCACCACTTGTCCATTTTTTAATTAAATATTATGAATTTGTACACAACTACACATACATAATAGCATACATATCATGATTGCAGCTATTTACACATATTCTGGTTCTCTACTGCCCAACATTTGTGCCATGAAGAACAAATGGCTTAGAATTTGCAAAACAACAACCCTATCATAATCCAAATCACGTTGGGGGTGGGGTCGGGGGGTCAAAGATGTATGCAACCTTACGGCTGCAAAAAGCAGAGAGGCTGTTTACGGTAGACCCTTGATGCCTTTCCTACCCAAAACATTATACAAAGTAAGAAGCAAAGGAAGTTCAATGTGATATTTTGATTTAATCCATTATTTACCCCAAGCAAAACCATTGTTAGAATGACTCTTTTAGCTCCATTGCGATGGGCATAGCATAGGATTATAATTCTCCTCTATCTCAATTAATTAGAGGGCATTACAAAACGGAGCAAGTAGATCAATACTTATTACTAGTTTACACTTAATACATGATGGAAATAGTTAAACTTGCTGGGTATAAATTGAAAGCAGCCTTATAAATATCTAGTGCATAAAAACATAGATCAAATGTCATCAATGGACCAGATATCGACTATCAAAGTATCGAGTCAAGTACCCATTGAAGTTACATGCACACCCGCACACATGCACCCATAGACCTGGCAATCGGGTCAATCGGTTCAGAGTCAGGTCGGGTCGGTTCAGTTTGATTCTGGGTTTAATTTGGTTTGATTCTTTCTGATGTCAGTTCGGTCTCGATTCGGTTAGCGGGTTTATAGCGGTTCAGGTTTATGCCGGTTTCAGATGAGATCCCTTGGTGTTAGAGTTCCTAATGTTAGCCTTGTGTGAAGCCTACCATCCCTATGTGTAAAGGGGGTTATATATACAAGTGTCACGAATAATGGGCCAGTATATCTAACAATGTGTGTTACGATGTCACTATAAATTATATATACTCTTATAAGATTACACAACCATCTTAGTTAAGTGATAAAATACGGAGCAAAAGATTTGTGCATGAAATAAATTGTACATATAGCCCAAATATGCTTTTCTTAGAAAGACATCAACTATTGAGCTATGAGGTTTGATTGGATTTGAGTTTAATTTATTTTGAACTTGATCAATAT